TATTAATTATTATTATGGACCCCTTAATACGAACGATTTAATTTATTTGACATCGAGTATTTCTTAAAACTATTGCAAAACCCTACAAAGGTCAAGAGACTCATTTAATTATCAAAAACCCTCTATCTATTTCAAAGTTTCTCATAAACATTGTTTTACCCATGAGGAGTTGGTCCCAAGCCAAAAGAGTAGCTCGGCCACGGTGGAGCTACAAGGGGCCCAAAATGTAATGTTCAATGAATGAGTGTTAGCAAGTTACATTTACGGGGGTTAAATTTAAAGTTTGAAAACCAAGGGTGACACATTATATAGATTTTAAAAATGATTTATTACATGACTCTTATCGACATTTTGCATTCAAATATTATAAATTCTACATGGACAAATAGACGAACAACTACAACATATTATATCATTAAGTGTGATATTTACATAAAATCTGATTGGATGATCGTTCGTGTATTCGTTGCAGTTGTGGTGCACACTCTCTCTTGCTATTCAATGTTATATCATTATTGGTCCCAGATAATATACACCAATGATTCTTAGAAAATTAATTTTTATTTTTTTTCTTTGGTGTATTAATTGTTTGGAAGGACACAAGTAGTTAACGGTTGTAAACCAAAGATGAATGAAATATTATGTAGGCACTGAGGAAAGCATGAATTCACTAAAGCAATGTGACAAGTTGCCCATTTGCCCAACCGTAGACATGACAGATGATTTTTTTTTCTTGCCTAAAAATCAAACTTGGCAATTTGTATCATGTTTTAATTGACTTTGACTCACAGATAGAGTGCCTCCTATTGAAGAATGTTCTCAAAGTTTGGTAGGTTTTGTTTATAAATAGAATTTTAAAAATTACTAAGGTGAAAACCATTTTACAGCTTATAATATATAATTATATGTTGATGTATGCCTGATCCAAACACTTATAATATATAATTATATGTGTTGTCCGCTTTGGACCTTGAGACTCACACAGTTTTGTCCTGAAAAAGATACATTTGGATAGTAAGGGTGTTCTTGTGCTATATAAGTGATCAAAACCCTCGTCTTCTAATCGATGTGGAACTTTGGCACTAACATATCCCCCTAAGGGACGAAGGGCTTGGGAATGGCTTAGGTCCTCCTTTTAGCGTCAACTGTTAATATATGTCGGATCCAGACATAGAGTAGGTGGGTTTTCAAAGACATTGTTTGCTTTAGACCCTAAGACTTGTTTTGTTCTGAAAAGACGTCTTTGGATGGTAAGGGTGTCCTTATGCTATATAAGCAACCAATGCCCTCATCTCCAACCGATGTGGACTTTGCACCAACATTATCCATATAGTATAATGTTATTCAATTTTTAATAAACAATATGATTCACTAATAAATATTTATATATGGGTTTAGGAACTTTATTATACATACAATTATATTTAAAATATAATGTTATAGTAAATCAAATCATGGACCATCCTTGAGAGAGGAACATGACTATGTGTTATCATGTGCAAGATCTATGCCAGCTTTTATAAACGTTTTTTTTTTTTTTTTTTTTTTTTTTTGTTAATTAATGTATTAATTTCCAATTCTTAATTAAAATAATTAGACTAAAATTTTTAAATGATTGTTAGAATTGAAGAGATTATGATTGTGGGTTAAAATGGAAATGGGTGATTAAATAATATAATTTAAGCATTTTTTTTAAAGCAAGTCAAAAGTACAAAATTTTCTTTGTTTTTTAATATCAGTAAAACATAGAATTATATCGTAAAAATAATTATGAATGCACCTAATTTACACTAATATATAATAATGAAAATTTGTAGCTTTTTTTTTTTTTTTTTTTAAATTAGATGTCTACTCTAGACTATAAGAATATGCTAAAAGACAAAATTCGAGCCAAATTTCTCACAAAATAATTTTAAAAAGTTATACTTTATAGAGTGCGTTTGGTTCAGGGAATATTATATTATTGGAGAATATTGTATTACTGGAAAGATATATTACTGAGGAATCTTTAGAGAAATGTGTTTGGTTGGTTAGAACAAATTGGTGGGTATGTTATAATAATATGTTTGGTTGGGAGGATAAATGAGTAAGTATGTTATGTAGATTACAAAATTACTTTTTTTTTTTTAAAATAATAATATAATATTATTTTTTAAATTATTTCTTTTAACCCCATATATTTAAAATTTTGCTAAAACACCACAACCATATAAAACTTTAATTTGTAGCAAAATCACCCCTACCCACCCCAAGCCACTGTCGGTAGCTAGCCACCACCACTAGCAGCCGTCGTAATGGCGCACGACCTGCTAGACCTGGCTGGTCGTGCGCCGGTAAGTCCTAATCCAGCCATGGATCAAAACGGCTTAGATCTGGTCGTGAAAAGGCCACAGATCTGATGCCAGATCTATGGCATTTCATGGCCACATCTTTGGCCGTGAAACGACTAGATCTGGTCGTTTCTGGCCATGGATTTGTAATCCATGGCTGGAAACGTCTTTACCGAAACACGACTGACAAAATCTCGCTGGTCTTGCCTTGATATGACGAGTTTCACTGGCGGCCGGCGGTGATCTTGGGTGATTAGGGGTATTTTGTTAACTTTTAAGCTTTTTTGTGGCTAGGGTGTCTTCGCTATATTTTCAAATGTAGGGGGTTTCGGCTAATTTTTATTTGGTAGACATATGAAGACAAATGTGTCCGAAATGATAAAAGATTAAAGGCAAAATATGATCAAAATTAAGATTACCTCGGTAATATTATATTAGCACCCTTTGGGAAGGTAATATGATTACCCATAATATTACCAACAGTAAATACTATTTGCAATAAAAGATTACGTAATATTTTATTACTTGACAACCAAACGAGGGAATCTTGAAAATTAAATAAAGATTACAAGATTAATTTTATATCACTCTGAACCAAACGCAATCACAGTGTATTCCACTATTCTCGTTGTCAAGACTTGACATTTTCATTATAAAAAATATCGATGTCATTTATACAAAGTTGGAACATACAAAGCTGGAAAGTTGGTATCTCAATTTTGTATGGTAATTCTTGCTCGTAACTAACTTGGCTAATTATTAACCGATGTAACCTTCCTATAATTAAGGCGTTGTTTCCAAATTAATTATGAAAATAAATTAAGATCTCAAATTTAAAATAAGAAGACGTTCACAAGAGAAAAGGACATTTTATAATAATGCTCTTTGGAAAAAAAAAAAAAATTCGGGACCGCGATTTTGAAGGTTCATAACAAAAAAACAGAAATGACGTAAGCCTATATGAAAAAAAGAATAGGAGTCATAATTGGCCAATCATCTTTAAATAATTTTTATTATTATATTACATGTTGAATATATTCTTTACTCATATACCTTTTCCAGATGCCCTTAAAATTTATAATTAATATTATTTTTATTTAGCTAATAGAAACAGAAATTTTGTTTTCCATGACACCATGATAAATATTTTAATTTAAAGATTAAATAGATGTGTATAAATATTTTATATTTCTAGACCTATCTTTATGGGTTACTAACTGTCTCGTAAATTTACTGAAAGAGACACAAGTTTGAAATTATATAAAAAAAGGACCAAAAACAGTTAGTTAATGTCAAATTTAATGGGAAAATATTAAAAGACGTAAATGCCCTAAATTAATATATATAAAAATATATTTTTAAAAATAATAACCCTGAATTAATATATAAGGCTTTGTAGGCATTCAATGCATGTTCTTCTCTATAGAATTTATTCAATCTCTTTACAACTGGAAAAAAGATTTTATTCTTACTTTATCCTATCTAAATAAATAGGATTTAGACAAAAATTATTAGAATTATTTTCAAATAAAATTATTTAATTGGTTATAGATAATAGCCTAATTTATTATAGAAACAAGATTAATTTATATTAAATAAATAAAAAAACTCCTAATATCGCTTTTTAATTTTCTAAAATCATGAGAGATCAGGATCCCTCTTTAGCTTTACTTTTTATATGAACAAATTTTTATATCAAGATTAACTATTAATAAAATAAATATTATAAAATGAGAACAAATACCGATCTTAAATAAGTAACAAAATAAAAATTATATCATATAGTAAATAGTTCATATTTGAAGAAAATTTTCATTTAAAGTACGAGATATTACACTTAATTTTTAGTGTTAAATAAAAATAAATAAATAAGTTACTAAAATTAACTTTTGACATAAAAGTACTTTAAATTTTATTTATTTTTAAATAATTTACATAATAGCATGCAAATGGAAGTGGAATCTAATCCACAACAACACCAAGACAAACACCCACAACCTCCCAAATCTTAAGGTTTCTTTTTCACTTTTTCTTCATTAAATAATATAAACTAAAAAACATAAAAAAAAAAAAAAAAGAATATTTCAACTCCCCTTCCTCTTTCATTGCCAACTAAAAAGTTGGGGTGATTTTCGGATTCTATCCTCAAGGTTTAGCTAATACTCAAATTTACGGCACTTTTGCACGAAATCATCTAAAAAAAATACCCTCGAATGCCAAATTCATCAAAAAAAAAAAAAAAGTTAATGTCCAAAAACACTTTGGTCATTTAAGCGACATATTTTATAATCAACAAGGGTAAATTAGTAAAGTTAATATAAAATTTTTGAAATTTTAATTTAATAGACTAAAACGACAGTGAGATTTAAGGGTATTTTATGAAAATCTCCAAAAAAAAGTTCAATATTTTCTAAACTAAATTTTTTTTATTACAGTAATAAATGTTATTTAATTAAAATAAATAAAAATAAAAAGGCTATTTCCACTGTCCTTCCCATTCATTCCCCACCAAAAAGTGACACTTTCTGAAACTGAAAAAATATATTATTATAATAATAATAATTAATATTATATTAATTAATCTTCTCTTCATCTCTTATTTTTACGCACCGGTTTATCCAAATCCTTAACCAAACTTGATGAAAGCGACAAAATTTTTGTTCTCTTTTGAAACCAGAAAAGATTACCATTTTTATTTCTCAAAGAGAGAGAAAACCAGCAAAAAAGAGCGGGTTTTTTGTTGGGTGGTTGTGGTTATTTCTGTGAATTGAAACTGTCTTTCTCTTTCTACTTTCTCTCTGCAAAATTTTCTCACAACCCCTTTGAATTCTCTTCTTTTTGGTGTCTAAATAAGTGGTCTTTTTGTACCTAGCTGTGAGCTGTAACTACCCTTTTGGTTTCACATTTTCTTGATCACTATTGGGTTTGATTTGCTTCAAGTTTTGATTCTTTTTTATCAGTGGTAGCTTGATCTGATAAAAAAGTTGCAGTTTTGGTGGTGAATTTGTTCAGTTTTGGCATTGTTTGAGTTTGGTGAAGAACAATTTGTGAGTATGGATTTGATTCTTTGAGTTTTGGTGGTGTTTGATAGTTGTATAATAGATCTGATTTTGCGCAATTTATGCTTTTTAAAGCTCTTACTGTTGTTGCATTTTTATGATAAAAAAGGGAGAAAGAGGAAGTGAAGGACATTCTTTCTCATTGTTGGTTCATAAAGTTGCCTACTTTCCTTTCCTGGTAAGTTTAAAGCTCTGCAATCAATAAAATTTGGTTTTGGATTTGTGGTTGATTCTGTTTTTGTTTCAAACCAATTAAAAGGGTGACTGCTGTGGAGTTTTAAGACAATATAGGCCTGGAATTCATAAGGGTATTTTGTAATTTTCTAGAGATTTGAAATAACAATCTGTGAATTCAAAAGGGTTTGTGGCAAGTGACTGGTTGAAGATATATAAGGTTAAATTGGAGATTGATCTGATGATTAGTTTGTGAATATTGAAGTGATTGTTGATTTGAGGATCAAACAGTGGATTAATCTGTTATTCAGGCCAGGAATTCGAAAGGGCTTGTAGGGTTTTCGCCAATAGGTTCTGACGGATTCGTCTTCCGAAAATAAGGGGTGTGACTGTGTGGCTGGTCTGGAGTGCATATTAAACATTATCAGGGCCCTTAGAATGGGGTCCTGCTTCTCTGCAGAAAGCAGGAGCCCCATCCCCGGATCACCATCCTCTCCTGCCCTGGGAGTGAGGAAGAGGAAGGGCTCGAAGAAAAGACCAGGGTCAAGGAATTCTTCCTTTGACTATCGGAGGGAGGAGCCGTTGCATAGGATTCCCGGGAGGTTGTTCTTGAACGGGTCAAGTGAGGTTGCATCACTCTTTACCCAACAAGGCAAGAAAGGAACAAACCAAGATGCCATGATTGTTTGGGAGGTTAGCTCTTTCTCATTTTCCCATGTAACAATTCATTTTCAAAGGAATTTTGATTCTATAAAAATGATCAAATATTGACAAGTATTAGATTTTTTATTTGCTCACTATGTTGCTTGAATGTGATCATCTGCTTTCCGTCATTCTATTGATGATATAAATAAAAAAGAAGCTGCAATCTGTCCGGATTGTTTTCAATGGTAATGGATTGCTTGCAGAAAAATTCTGTGATGAGAAAAAACTAAATTGTCTTCATTCTAGTGAATGATCTTATATATTACAAGTTTTTTGGCTCTTAAAAGTGTTCTTTGCTTACCCTTCATAACTGTGATTTACAGAATTTCGCAGCGAGAACAGATACAGTTTTTTGTGGTGTCTTCGATGGCCATGGTCCGTATGGTCATATGGTTGCAAAGAGAGTGAGGGATTCTCTTCCTCTAAAACTGAGCTCGCATTGGGAAGTCAATATTACCAGTGAGGAAGTACTCAGGGAGATAAGTCTTAATACTGCAGGAAGCCTAAATTCTGAAGACACTGCCTTTGTATCTGCTGATGAAGAATCTAGAGCCTCCATTGATCTTGAGGAAACGGAAAAGTCCCCTGAGATCTTTCAGACGCTGAAGGAGTCATTTTTGAAGGCTTTCAAAGTCATGGATAGGGAACTAAGAATACATGCAAATATTGATTGCTTCTGCAGTGGGACCACGGCAGTAACCTTGGTCAAGCAGGTATTGACTTATAGCTGTTCGAAACTTGATTTTTACTAGATTTTACAAATTTTTGATGTATCCTTGTATTCACGAGGTAAGGGTTGCCTTGACTTTTTGTGCAGGGTCAATATCTTGTCATTGGAAATGTTGGCGACTCTAGAGCCATACTTGGCACGAGGGACAAGAATGATTCTCTTATTGCAGTTCAATTGACAGTGGATCTCAAACCAAATCTTCCTGGTTTTTTTTTTTTTCTCCCCCTTCTCTCATTTACATCTAACTCATTCATCGATTTCTTGATATAACTGAAAAGGCACAAAATATGATGTCACGGTTCTGCTGGGCGAGTTTCTTTTATAGTTTTCTCTTAAAAAGAGTTGTGGATTGAACTTTGTAAAACACGAGGATATTATATAAAGATCTTGGTTGAGTTGTGACATTGTACTGAGGTCCATATATCTGCAGAGTGCATTTCCATAAGCCTCACTGATTTACAAGGGCAGAATCTCTGCATTAATAGTTAAAGGCATTGTCATTGAGATAACAAACTGATAAATAGTTGATATATATGTTGCACTGATCAGGGATCATCATTTTGTCATGTGTTCAGTGCTTTAAAGTCGTGGATGATGAAAGAGAAGTTAATCAAAAGTTTGATAGCTTGCTTTTTTTTTGTTATCACTTCTGATTGTTCTTGCTCTCTTGTTTATTAATTTCTTTGCTTATGAGTACTTTTTCATTCCATACAGCGGAAGCTGAAAGAATACGGAAATGTAGAGGACGCGTGTTTGCACTTCATGATGAGCCTGAGGTTGCCCGAGTATGGCTGCCAAACAATGACTCCCCTGGTCTTGCCATGGCACGAGCTTTTGGAGATTTTTGCCTCAAGGATTTTGGCCTGATATCAGTGCCTGATATATCATGTCGACGCCTTACTGATAAGGACGAGTTCATTGTCTTGGCCACAGACGGGGTAAGCCAACCAACTTTAGTTCTGATATCAAATGCTAGACTGAATCAAACTATCTTGCTTTTTTTTTTCCTCTTTCATATTCCCTGTATATTTGTCCTGACCTAAAATCGGCTTCAATTCCCTTTCATAGATTTGGGATGTTCTCTCGAACAAGGAAGTGGTAGACATTATTGCTTCAGCTCCAGCACGAGCCTCAGCAGCTCGAGCCCTGGTTGAGTCTGCAGTTCGAGCTTGGAGATACAAGTATCCGACTTCCAAAGTCGATGACTGTGCTGTGGTTTGCCTCTTCCTTGATTCGAACAATATATCCACATCTTCCAGTTTCAAGTCCAAAGAGCTACAAACTTCAATGGATCATGTCAACAATGTAGCTGAGAAAGACAATGAACCCACCACCCCAGTCAATCTGGACCGCTCAGGAACTGTCCGAAATGGCCCTGAAATTCTCCCAGAAGAAAATGAAGAAGAGGATCCCTCAAAGCATGATGACCAGCAGACAGATTGGTCAGCTCTTGAAGGCGTGTCTCGAGTTAATACCCTCTTGACTCTCCCGAGATTCACTCCAGGAAAGGATGACAAGAAGGCTGCTGGCACTCGGAAATGACAACGAGCAGGTTTAGTTAGTCCTCGAATTTCATAATTAAATTTTGGTTCTTTTTTATTAAATTGTTCATGTTTGTGCTATTTTCTTCTACATAAAAAAGGGAAAAATTTATTTATAGGGCCATTGATGTTAAATTCAGACCGGAGAGGTGGGCCCGGCTATATTAGCATGTCTGGGAAATTTATCCTTTCTCTCTAGTGTGGGTAGAATCGGAATTTTTGTAAAATCCAACTCTCGGTCTATTTTTTTTCTGTTTGATTTGATTTGATTTTATTTTTCTTTCCATCTTTTTATTTTTTGGTTCATGTGTGACTATTTGTTACTGTTAATAATAATTTGGTGATAATGAAGTCTCCTTTTTCAGATTCATCTTCCAGCTTTTAGTGTTTTTGGTCACTTCTTTGGTCACTTTCAGATGTAGACTCTTGATGACATTTTGCTCGTTCATTTTGCAGCTTTTCTTTTGTGGCTTCAATTGCTTGAAAAATTATGCTTTTTTAATCAAATTTCTTCCAAAGTTTACAAATCTGAGATTGAAACTTTTTGAATGGGATCACATCCTTTGAATATGAAAGGTTTTGAATGCTTGGTTGGGAGCTTAAGGAAAGTTAAGCCTACCATTTATTCATCCATTTCTTTGACTTTAGGAAGCTTGCAGGCCAGCAAAAAATTTTCATTTTTCAAGTTAGAATGTAACACCTTGAAAAATGTCAAGTGTTATTCTTTTTTCTTCTCGTGTTATAAGCATGGTTATCAAATCGTGTATCGTATCGTGTATCGAAAACCTAATTTTTTGAATCGTGTATCGCGTATCGTATCGTATCGTAAGATACGCCTTTTTCAAATAAATTAATAAAATAATCAAAATTTTCTAAAAATTAATATAATCCCCAAGATTAATTAAAGAATTTTGTGGTATTATTGACTTTAAATTACAGTATTACATAATCAAAATTAATCACAAAATTTCAAAATTAATGTCAATATTTATATCTCCACTTATATTATTATTATCATGTAAAATGGGCAATACATATTCCTCTTCACTTTCTTCATGCAAAATAGGTAAATTTGGACAGGTTTTAATGAATCGGGTTGGGTGACCCGGTTTCAACCCGAATTTTTTTTGGACCTTGGCCCAAATTAATAAGTCGTATCGATTTATATCGATATTTTTAAGGATACGAACGGATACGTTCGTATCGTAGGATACATATCAACATATTGAATGGTTTAGGATACACTCTCTGATACGTCCGTTGGCGACCTGTATCGATCGTATCGTATGATACGTATCGGATATCGTAGGATACTAACAACCATGGTTATAAGTTTGATAACATTATCGAGTCAATCGTTAGTATGAGTAGACGTCGTATTTATCTATTTGGAACGAAAAAACTCAGTTCGATAATGTTACCGACAATTATGTAGTAGGAGCTTGAAAATGAAGAGCGTTAAAAATGACTTTATCCTGAACTATTGCCAAAAAAAAGAAAGAAAGAAATATTACTAACAAATGATGTAAGTTGATTGAAAATTATAATAATATATGATAAAAAAAGAGAAAAAAAAAAAAAACTCTTTAAACTTATCTACAAGATAAGAACTTGAGAATGACACGGTTGATGAAAAGAACTAAAAGTTGCGTGCTGTAACCTATTTTGCTAAATTAAGTTACTAATTTTAGACGAAAATACATTTAAGGAAGTAATCATATATTTGTCTTGCACAATATTAATTATATAAATTCTTTTTTCACTTTTATATATATATTATATATTTAATATATATATATTATATATATATATATATATATATATATATATTTTATATATTATATATACACACACACACACCACACACACACAAAATTTCTGTCAACATTCTAAAAATCGACATCATACAATCATTAGTAGTATTTTTTCATAATTCTTTGTAAATATATTTATTTTTTTTTTTTTCACAAGTTTGGCCATGATTTTTGAGCAATTCGATTAAAGTATTTGAATGATTGAGATTAAATTTAATTTTTGTTATTTTAATCACATTAATATGAGTAAATATAATTAAGATAAAAAAAAAAAAATCTTAGAAGTTCAGAGAGGTAGACACGGTTCTATGCAAGGTTTTAAAACTTGGCTCGGGGTGAAACCTGACAAAGTGAGAGGGTCCCGGGTTTATCGGTTGAACTGATTTGAAAGGTTTGAAATTCAGCAAAAATACCACTGACAAGTTCCATTAGTCCCTGCAAGTTTGAAATTCTACAAAAAACACCCCTGACAAGTTCTCATAAGTCCCTATAGGTTTGAAATTATGCAAAAACACCCCACATTACAATGTTGGGGTTGATAACCCAGTCCAAATAGGGCCTGTTTCCGGCGTCGAAAACACACCCATCAACACAAAAACTCTCCCTCAGCCTCTTGACCAAAACCCATCTCACCCTACCCCTGTTCGCCTAGCCAAACGTCGGCAACAATGAGTTGTTGTTGCTGCTTAATTTTTGCGATTTTTGGTTGTTTCACTTATCGGAAATAACCTTCGTCGCCACCTTTCTACTCATTGGCCCTTCCTCTTCAAAACCCCCAACATCCCAGCCACTAATTGCTCCCTATCATCGTCCTCCTCTCAAGGGTTCGTCATGAACAATCGAAATTGGTAACACCACTCAATGAAGGCCTTGGGTCCCAATTGAATAGGTTTAAACGACAAGGCCAATTTTAAAACAGAGGTTCTACGTTCAATAAATGTGATGAATATATTGTCATATATTTAATAAATATGAGAATATGTGTCTCTTATGTAAACTCGGTTATTATAATGGTATTTTCACTAATGTTGACGCTTGATTTTAGACGCCAACGACTCGCACGTGCAAAGTGCTAAGAGAGCCTTAGAAATTACACGTGATGGATCCATGATATTTGAATATGGAGCTGAGATTTTATGTGTTGCAGAAAACATAAATAATAGGCTAACAAGAGAGGTTTTTATAGTGGTTCGGATGCTTAAAGCAAATCCTACATCCACTGTTATTTTATTCATCTCTGACTATTTCTATGATATTGGCCGTAAAGCATACAAAGATTAAGAAATACAGTGTTTACAGAGAGAAAGAAATGAACTCAAATTATGGTTAGCTCTCATATGTCCACCCTCCCTCTTCAGGAAGAGAAGTGCCAATTTATACACCTTTGCACTCAATGTAATGAGTGTTTTGTAAGTTGCTTTGATACATGGAAGGCTCTTGTCCATTCATCTCTTGAAATGAGATAGGGTTGGTATGAATATCTTTGAGGAGATATGGGTTTAGCAGCTAGTACAAAAAGATATTTATTGGGCTGACATAAGCGTGACTTTTTAGACATAACAACTAATATTTGGGTTGTTCTTGTTTATCTTATTATATGATTATGGCGATTGATAAGAGGAATCAGTTTCCGTAGGGGAAAACCTTACTCAAAAGACATAAGATTTACATACTTCACTCTATTATTGTTTCATATATTTCTCTAACGCTTTGATGAAGTTACGTTTGTTATAGTGAATTTTAATGCATTAAACGACACATCAACTTTGCACTTTTCAGCATCGAGCCAGAAAGGAACCACGTCAGAATTTCTCCATCACATTTTCCTTGTAGACATTCTTCTTTTTCTATTTTGTTTGGTTGTGGAACTTGATTTTCCCGAGAAAATTTAGAAGCTTTCTGGTGGTGGGGTTTTGCTAGGAATGGTCACAAAATTGAGGGATTTTTTTAATTTTCGTCGTCAAAAGTTTAATTATGATTATCATCAAGTTATATATATGGACAGGAATTTGAACAACTTGACATGCATAATTATGTGTAGAAATTAAATACAAAATTCCCCCTCCAAAAAAAAAAATTAAAAATAATCTCCACCTCAATTTCCTATGACGATTATGTTATGGAGCAATTTGAGCAACTTGGCAAGCATGATTAACATAGACTGTCATAAATTGATAAGATGATGTGATTGAAGCTATATTTTAAGATGAAAAATCAGAAAATTATTTTTGAGAGGATTGATTTTTTTTTTTTCAATTTAGTTTAAAAAATTATTAATCTTATTAATGAGGATAACAAAGAATAAAGATAAACAAAGTTTGTTTTAATATGGAGAAAAACGGGTGTAAAAATAAGAGAAAAATAAAGTTTATTTTAAAAAATGGAAGAAGAATGGTGTAGATAAATCAACACTGTGTGGTCTGATGGTAAAAGTGTAAAAGAAGGTTCCATGAGCTCTTAAGTTCGAGCCCCTTCAGGCACTAATATAGGTAGTCACTAGGGCTCTTACCCGATTGCCAGTTCCAAAGCCTCGAAGGATTAGTTGAGGTGCGCGCAAGCTGGTCTGGACACCTTTGGAGATAAAAAAAAAAAAAAAAAGAAAAAGAAAAAAGAATGGTGTAGAAATAAGAGAAAAGAGAGTGTATGATAAAGTCGGAAGGGGGGCTGTAAATCTTCTTTTGTTTTCACTTCATTGTAATAATAAAAATGAAGGGGAGGGGGGCTTTTTATAGCCAATGGCTCCTCCTCCATTCATTGCCTCAAAGTTAAGGCGATGGATGTACATATTTTACAACACTCCCCCTTGGACATCCACCGTTTACATATAATTGTATTTAACTTTACTCAAGAAAGGCCCAATGGGAAAAAAACCTAAGTAAAGAAATACAACTCTATAATGAAACTATAATATGAAGTTGGACGTGCTTCATGCTGCCTCATTAAAAACCTTGTCAGGAAAACCCAATGGGACAAAACCTGATAAAGGAAAAAAGAGTGCATTGCACATATGTCCAGTACAATAAACAGTACAAAACTTTTCTAAAAACTCCCCCTAATCGCTGCTCCACTTGATCAATGCTCCCCCTCATAATGGTAGTATTAATTTAGTAACTTATTAAGATGTTGTATACCGATGTTATACAGTAATATTTCAAATGTTGATAACAGTAAAGCCTTAGTGAATAAACTGCAAGATTATCATTGGAGCGTATTTGTTTGACATCAATCTCACGATTTTGCTAGAGTTCGTGAGTGTAAAAGAATTTCGATGAAATATGCTTGGTTTTGTCTCCTTTGATATATCCTCCCCTGACTTGAGCAATACATGCTGCATTGTCTTCATTTATAATTGTGGGAGCATCTGAGGTATGTGGCAATTTGCTTTTACTTTCAATATGATGAATGACAGATCTTAACCATATGCATTCTCGGCTAGCTTCATTAAGTGCAAGAATCTCGACGTGGTTGGAGGAAGTAGCAACCAATGTCTATTTTTTAGAGCGCCATGATATTGTAGTACCATTATGAGCGAA